TGGCGCTCGAGCACTTGCGGGACGAGAGGATGGGCGGATGGAGGGGCGACGCTGAGACCGCCTGGCCGCCGGCCTCCAAGCCCCAAGTTCCTCAGCAGATGTTTCTGGACTCCCTCCCAGAGCACTGAGGACCCCTACTCCACGCCTCCCGCCCCCAGGAAGGCCAAGCTCAAGCGGCGTCCCTTTGAGTCGCGAGCCTGACTCTGCAAACTTAGATGCCAGGCCATTGCTGTCCGGGGAAATAGCCATTTCATCCAAGTGTGTGAGCAAGCCCCACCCGAGCAAAAGCTACTTTCTAATGCAAACGCAGACGCGAAGCTGGGGAGGACACCGCTCCTCCTTTCTCCGCGGAGGCTGTCCACGAGCTAGCGAGGAGCCCCTGAGAGTGCCCGTGATACAGCACCATCCAGGGAAGCTATCCTGAGAAATTATTCACCAATCATCAAAACGAAAAAGCCTCACTCTGCCTAAAAGCAGGCCTGCCTAGCTGGGCGGCAGAAGGTAGCTCCTGATTGGAAGCAGCAGGAATGTCATACTGTGGGCCAGGGCTGAGCAGCCCACATGTTAACCCGACGAACAGCATATTACTTCCAGTCTTGGCAACAGATAAAGACCATCTAAAAATGACGGGGCAAAGTAGGAACCCAGAAATAAAATAAACTAACAGTGGAATTCAGAAACATGAGTTGATAGTAACACACAGGGTTACGTCTACAGAAATAAGCTTGGGAAAGGCACCTGTTCCTAAGCAGCTCTTATCTGGAAACCAGCGCGCTGCAGTTGTTGGTTCTTTTTGCAATTGTGTTTTGGCTGATTCTGTCTAGCTTTAATGTACGGTTGACCAAGCACAAGGTATGGATGATTTCTTGGTTCATCCACCTGCTTAAGGAGAAATGCTTTCCACAGTTGCCAAAGGCCAGAACAGGCATGCTGGGGGCTGCGCACCAGAAATCGACTGCCCCGCTGGATGATTAATTGAATATTGGGATCCTGTGGGAACCAAAGAGGATGAAAAGGAGAAGGCAGAAACCAAATGGCCCTGCTCGCTCCCTCCAGGGGACCCCATCCACCCAGCCTGCCTCCTCCCCAGCCACAACAAACTTGCAAGAGCTGGGTGGCAGCTGGGGGCATCGCTCTGCCTGTTGGCGATGAGACGGCTCCACAGAGCTGCGGGCCAGCTGCCTGTTGGAGATGAGACGGCTCCACAGAGCTGCGGGCCAGTTTCCTACGGTGCAGCCAGAGGTCAGATTTGCAGGAAAGAGCTGGCGGCTGCCGGGAGCTCCCTCGCCACCCATTCATTCAAGAGTATTTATGCTCTCCGGGCACTGGAGGGACAGCAGGACGGACCTCAGCGAGTTTAGCTGGGGTGGAGGATGGACAGTGAACACACAGGTACATAAACGTGACTTTAGACAGGGACCCATGCTGCAGAGAGGACACTAGGGCGCTTAGAGGGGAGGGCAGCAACGGCTCCCAAGGAGTGATGTTTGAGCTGAACCCCGAATGAGGAAAGAGCTGGCAGAAAGGACAGCAGGGCAGGCGCCCTGAGGTGGAAATGAGCTCCCGGAGCTCAAGGGTCAGGAAGAAGGCGGTGTGTCTGGAGAAAAGGGAGGGGGCCTGGGAAATACCGGAGAGAGCTGGGGCCAGAGCACCAGGGCCATGGCAGAGGCTGGAGTCCCCCCTTAGAAAAGTGGGGGCGTCTCAGCGAGGAAAGACAGCACGCTCTGACACCAGCATGGATGGTCTCCAGAACCTGACTCAGTGAAAGCAGCCTGACCCCAAGAGCACCTGCTCCATTTTCAGCAAGCTCTAGAACAGGAAACTAGCCTAGGCCGGAAGGTCAGAATGATGGCTGCCTCTGGGTGGGGGTGGGGCAGGGATTGGCTGGGAAGGGGTGTGGGGGAACTTTTGGGAGTGATGGTAAGGTTCTGTATCTTACCATGGATTTGGGTACACAGGTGTATGCATTCTTCAAAAATCATGAAATACACAGTTAAGATTTGTGCATTTCATAGTATGTAAATTTTACCTCAAAAGAAAAAAAGAGGGGCCGGCCATGTTGCCTAGTGGTTAAGTTTGGCGCACTCCACTCAGGTGGTCCGGGTTCAGTCCCCAGGCTCAGAGCTACACCACTCGTCAGCAGCCATGCTATGGCAGCGTCTCACATACAAAATAAAGGAAGTTTGGCACAGATGTTAGCTCAGGGCAAATCTTCCTCAGCAAAGAAAGAAGACAGAAAAAAAGAGCTGTAAACAAATATTGAACTCTAGTTGATGTGTATGCCGAAGTATTTAGGTAGAAAGGTACTGATGTCTGTAATTTACTTTGAAATGCATTTTAAAAATCAAGATGGATGATGGGTGGGTAAAGGGACAGATAAATGAGCAGAGAGGTGGTAAAATGAGTGTAGTACGGTATTAATGGGACAATCTAGGTGGTGGGTATCTGAATATTTGTGGCAAACTTCTTCCGGCTTGACTGGGGTATTTGTGATGGGCGTAGGTGTGACTGTGGCCAGAGTGCAGATGGCCAGGTTTCCTTGCTCTCCTGCATGTCAGCCTGCAGTGCGACAGCAGGGGCAGACGAGGGGAGTGGCTGCGGCTGAGCCTTCCGCACCTCCCAAGGGAGATGGCTGGTGGGGAGTGGGCATTGCGAAGCAGGAGCTCAGAAGAGAAGTCCATCCTCTGGCATAGACGTGGGAGGTTTGGTGCCAATGGAATTTCAACCATGGGGCTCCTGAAGTCACCAAGGGTGTCTGTGCAGAGCCAGGAGCCCTCCAAGGGTGAGAGGTTGGGGAGAGCAGCGAAGGAGGGCAGCCAAGGGGCGAGGAGGAGAGAGGTAAGGTGTCGAAGAAGCCCAAAGGGCATGACTGCTCCCCGTGTTGAGCTCCTACAAGTGCAGGACAAGGAGGGACCCGAGTTTGGTGTCAAGAGCAGGCCCGTGAGAGTGAGGGACCCTAGTCCAGCTGGAGGGGTGAGGCAGGGCCTCTCAAGAGGCCCCTCACTCTGGTCCCTGTAGACAGTGCTCCCTGGAGGGGAGAACAAGGCGACAGATTGTAACTGCTTTGAGAAGTCTTGCTCTCAGGGAAGGGGAGAAGCAGCAGAGCTGGGGGTAGGGAGGAGGGAAGGGTGCAGTGATGAGGCTGGGGTTTGACAGGGAGGGAGACGCTGATGACACTCAGAGAGAGAGTTGAATCACCCACTTAATGTGATTCAGGGCAGGACAGATGGGGCTCTGAGATGTCAGAGGTCAAGGCTGGGCCACAAAGTGGGCTGTGAACCAGGTTTCCACAGGGTGACATGGAAGATGTCCTAGAAAAGAATGGAGGTGCGGGGTCTTCCTAGGCGCAGACCCCACTCCCCTCTGGGGCTCAGGGCAGCTGTGAGCACCCCTTCGCAGGGGGTTTCCGTAGTTGCCCCACACCACCCTTTCACTTCCCTGCTCCAGCTGACAGCCTGCTTGAGCCAGCCCAGTGCAGCGGGGTCCTGTGGGTGGGAGTGGGGTCTCATGGGCACCAAGGGAGGGGCTGCGCTTCCCTGGACCAGCAGGGCCTCATCAGTAGCAGGAGGACAGAGAGGACTTGGGGCTCAAATTGCCTCCATGGCCTCCTCTGATATCTAGAACCAAAGCCCTGCCCCCTTGTAAGCACAGGGGACAGAGAAGGCTCTGCATGTTCTCCCACCGTGGCGCAGGACCTGCAGGACCAGTGTCACACCTGTTTCATGAGGGCCCGTGTGAGGTGAGGGCACCCGGACGGCCTCTCTGCCCAAAGGCTCTCTCCCCCCACGTCTGGATCAGGAACCTCCCTCTCAGGGCCTCGGGGGTGTCAGGCACCGAGCCATCGGCCATGGTGACACATGACTCAAATTAGCCAGCCCCCTCAGGTCTAAAGCTTCTTCCGGAAGTGGCCTGTGAGAATCCCCAGGGAGGGCCAGGGAAGCCCCCGGACGGCCTGGAGAAGCTGGACCTTTCTAGCTGAAGCCTCTCCTGGGCCCGGGCTCTCCAGGCCGAGAGAGGAATGGTGGGCAGCACACCCACCTCTGTCCACCCACAGGTATCAGAACATTTGCTGTTTTGACAGATAAATGTTTCTCTTTTAAAACGTGAGCATGCCCTCAGAACAGCTCTTACGCATACCATCTGACCAGCACAAAATGAGCTTACTTCTTCCTGGACTACACAGAGCTCAGTGAAAGAAGCTGGCGGAATCATGATGCACTAATTCTTTTAACATTTGTAGAACGAACAAGAGACCTGGAGAATTTTCGTCGGTGGAGAACACAGAACCCTTCCTGAGAGCCTGGTTTACTCAGGGTAGCGCCGGGCCAAGGAGCCACGCGGCTCCAGTTCTCGTCCTTCCCAAAGACCGCCCGGCCGCGGGTGTTGGGGAGGAAAATGCCCTTCCCCTCTTACCTTGGCCCTGGGACGGGCGTGACTCCACTCACGGTTCGGAACAGAGAACAGCACTGAACAGGCATACAGGAACACCATGTTTTTGCACCTCAAAGCCTCACAGCCTCGGTCATCCAACAAGAAACTACTTGTGCACAGTGACCAAGACTGTGTCACCTGCAGGATCCCCAGCCTCTCCCTGCTTCTAAGCACCTTTCTTCCACGTGCTGAAGGTCATTCATTTCACTTCCTCTTTTCCATTAGGACAACCAACCCACCAACCTTCCCATCAGAGCATCTCCAACGGCTGTCCAGAGTGAAGATCAGCTGCCCTCCCCAGCTCCCATCCCCAAGTGTGCAGGCTTGGCCTCACCAGCAGAAGGCCCAGCATCCAGCCACAGTGAGCTGGCTTCAGGCCACTTCCTAAGGGTGTGTGAGGCTAAACCAGGAGGGCAGGCCACCCTGGGGCTATTCCATGACCCCAACATTAGCAACATTAGCGTGACCACCTAAAAAAGCACATAAAGGGATGGCAGGGAGAACCGGGCCCGGGCCCCACAAGCATCTCCAGAGCCAAAGGCACCACTCGGGCACCACACGGTGTCTACCTCAGGGGCTGAGTCTCCACTCCGCCTCCTTCTGCCGCTTCCTTCCCCGAGCACTGCCAGCAACTTCTCTGGGGGAAATAGCAGCTGCCTGGCCTGCTTGGCACGGCCACTTGGAGAAGGACCGGGCAGCAGCTGGGAGTGTCCAGCCGCCATGGGACACCCAGGCACTCCAGTTCAATTCTCTCTGGGCAGGAGGCTTGCTGGGAGCTGCAGGGCGGGGCACCTTGGGGTGGGGGTGTGTGTGGAAGATGGAGGAAGCCGAGGAAGGAAAGGCCGGCCTCCCTGGGGAGGTGCCCGCTGGGCGGGCCACTGAAAACCCATTTCCCTGCAGGCCCGGGGCCTGGACTGCAGCACAAAAGGAGGGAGCAACAGCTGCCCTCCGAACTCAGAGGAGCCAACAGAGGGCCGGCCACCATGGGGCCTCTATCTGGCAGCCGCTAAACTGAGCATTTACTCAACTCCTGAGCCCTGAGCCCCAGCAAGGCTGATGTTTCCAGCCTGTACACATGCCAACACCAAGCCTCACGAGGGCATGGAGAAAAGAAACCCGCACCTGCTCCAATAGCCCCAAACGGCTACTAAGACACGTTCTTGCCAGTGATTGTGTTCCTTGAAAGGAGAAAATCTCAGGATTATTTCTATTACTTTAAATTATTGTATAATCTTCGCTATAAAAATTTCACTGTATTGGCAAATGCCCAGAAATAGAAAGAAGAGAAATTTCCTTGAGTTTCACAGCACAGATGGATGCTGACTGCACTTTGGCTGCAGTCTTATCTGTGCAGTTATTTGCACTCAATCTGGTCTTGTGTGTCTGCCACTTCCTGTGCTGTTCTTCACCGCACATGTCCATGCCAGATGGTGCTGCCCAGGGCTCCCCGGCGAACAGCAGCGGGCAGGACGCAGTGCCGTGCATCGCCCCGCTGCAGGGCCTCCCCGGCCCTGTGCTCCCTGGAGGGAGGCAGCAGCATCTGTACGCACCGTGGACACGGCTTGTGTATCCAGCTCTTAGGGGGATCACTGATTTTTGTTCCTCGATCAAATTTTACACCCCCAAGGGTGGAACTGTTTACTTTTATGCGGCACGGCACGCAAGAAAAGGCCAGCTAGATACACAGCAGGGACTCAGCTATCTGTTGGAGCCAGAGCTGCTATACCATCCTGCCATATTGTTTAAAATGGCCTGCCTTCACGTTATAAACATGCTACACCCCAGAATGTAAACTCTCCAAGAGCAGACTCCAGCCTTGTTCACGGCCCACCTCCTGGACCAGACAGGGCTCCATTCAGAGCTGCTGCTCAGTAAACATTTTTAAATGAACATTCTTGGTAAGTTTTAGACTCGGATGATGAGCTGCCTAAATGTAGAGTACATATCACACTCCCGGTGCCCAAAGCATCGCAAATACCACTCTGCTCAACAAATCTTTTCCTGAACTGAATTTGTACAAGTAAAACAAGTTTAATTATGTCTAAGGAACCTATAATTGGAAGAAATCTTGATGGAAAGTATTCTTTTAAAAATAGAATCTGTTTGAAAAGGCAATTGATGCTCAAACTCATCTTATATATTCCTCACTTTTATAGCTATACACTAGTCTGAGATCTGCCCCAGGAGAGGCAGGTGTCGGGACCCCCAGTGCACAGTAACTTGGACCAGCACTGATGCTGTTCCATTAAATGGACACGTGCAGGTGCCACCCAGAAAAGATGCAGTTCCACCCACACGTCTGTCAGTTAGGATCCAGTCCATTAGTGTGAGGTCCACGTGTGAGGGCACAGCAGAGATCAACCCCACATCTTTTCCCTGGGAACACCACAAAGTCGGGCACTTGGAGCCCAAGGATTCTGCTGGGCAAGAAGGGAATGGAGAAACCTGGGGGAACAAGGACTGGGCCTCCATCTAGTGGTTACTCTGTGATGCTTAGAAATGTTGTAGGAAATCAACAAACCCATGCTATTAAAGGCACTGTGGCATGATGGTTTGAAGACACAAACCATGGAGTCAGCTGATTCGTGTTCAAACACCGTCTGGCACTTACTGACTGTATGATTTTGGACAACTGCTCCCCTGCTCGGGCTCAGTCTCCTCATCTGTAAAACAGGGTTGATAACAACAGTACCCACCTCAACAGGATGTGTGGGGGTCGCATAAACTCAGCTTATGGACGTGGTGCTCAGACGTGTCAGTCTTTGTTTTACACTCACTCTTAGAAAGTACTGAGGATCCCAAAGAGCTTTTATTTATGTGGACTACATCTATAAATATTTACCATATTGGAAATTAAAATGAAACATTTTCTTAAATTAGTTATTAATTTATTTTAAAATCAGTAAGAAAATTATTACATATTAACATAATGGTATATCTTTATGCAAACTAACTCTATTTTCCAAAGCAAAAAATAATTACTGAGATGTCTAGGTACCCAGCCAAGATGAAGTAGCAGGAACAAGACCAAGTATGTGATACAATTGCTTTCAAGATCCTGAACGTCACAAACCAGCCCTGATGGCCTAGTGGTTCCAGTTCAGCGGTCTCACCGCTGCGGCAGCCCAGGTTCGCTTCCCAGTCACGGAACCACACGACTCGTCTGTCAGTGGCCATGCTGAACTAGAAGGATTTACAACTAGGATACACGACCATGCACTGGGGCTTTGGGGGGAGAGACAAAAAACAGAGGAAGATTGACAACAGATGTTAGCTCAGGGCAAATCCTTCCCTGCAAAAAAAAAAAAAAGATACTGAACATCACGCAACAAGACAGTGATCCATCAGAGACAGGAAATGAACATGTGGACCCCACTGCTGCCCCAGTTTAGCACCTAGAGAGCATTTGCAGGCCTTCGCCCAGAGGAATCCAGGTGAAGCTGAGCAGACGCCCTTAGTTACAGACAGGAGGCTGAGTCTGGAGAGACTTCACAGCACTGGATACTGGAGAGAAGGCTGCAGAGAGGGCTCCAAAAGTCTCTGCAGAGCCCCTCAAGCATTCAGCTGAGCAGGATAAGCATATGCACCTGAGGAAACTGCTCCGGGCCACGGAAGAAGCTCCCAGAAGAATTCGGGGGAGCCAGGCCTGGCACTCACAGAGGGCCAAGATGAACACCTATTTCCACCATCCAGATGGGGAAATGCCAGGAGAGAAGAATAAAAACTACCCAAACTGAACACAGAAGGGTAGACTGAAAAAAAATGAAGACAACGTCAGGGACCTGTAACACTATCACAAAATAGTAAAGTGTCGACACTAGAGCCCCGCCCCGTGGCCGAGTGGTTAAGTTCGCGCGCTCCGCTGCAGGCGGCCCAGTGTTTCATTGGTTCGAATCCTGGTCGTGGACATGGCACTGCTCATCAAACCACGCTGATGCAGCGTCCCACATGCCACAACTAGAAGGACCCACAACGAAGAACATACAATTATGTACCAAGGGATTTTGGGGAAAAAAAGGAAAAAAATAAAATCTTTAAAAAAAAAAACGTCAACACTAGTAGACTGTAAGTTACTGATATATGACTTCTTAGAGCAACCACTAAAAAATCTATGCAAAGCCAGCCCCAGCTGGCCTAGTAGTTACGTGTAGCACACTATGCTTTAGCAGCCCAGGTTCGGTTCACGGGTGCAGAACTACACCAGTTAGTGGCCACACTGTGCTGGTGGCTCACACACTAAAAACAGAAGAAGACTGGCACGGATATTCTTCAGCAAGAAAAAAAAATCTATATAAAGAGGTACACCAAAAAACATTACAGATAAATCAAAACGGAATTCTAAAAATTATCCAAGGTCTATATAGGGAGGCAGGATAAAAAGGAATGGTCTATTGATACACACAATTTGGACATATCTCAAGGGCATTATACTCAGTGAGAAAAGTCAGTCTTAAAACATTACATACTGTATGACTCATTCACACAACACCTTTAAAATAACAAAATTATAGAGAAAGAAAACAAGTAGGTGGTTGCCAGGGGTTGGGAATAGTTGGGACGGGGGGCTAGGTATGACTATAAAGGAGTTTTCTCATTAACGTGGGTTGTCCTTCCATTTATTTAGATTTCTTTAATTTCACTGAACGTTTGTTTTATGCATACAAGTCTTACACTGATCTAAATAGCTTATTCCTAAGTATTTTATTCTCTTTGGCACAACTGTAAATGGACCTGTTAATTTCCTTTTCAGATTTTTCATTGCTAGTGTATAGAAACACAATTAAATTTTGCATATTAATCTCGCATCCTAAAATCCTGCTGAAGTATTTATTAATTATAATAGTTTCATAGGGAATTTCTTAAGCTTTTCTATATACCAGATATCATCTGAAAATAGAGATGGTTTTCACTTCTTCTCTTCCAATCTTGATGCCTTTTATTTATTTTTCTTGCCTATTTTCTCTGGCTAGAACATCCAGTACACTGTTGAATAGAAGTCTTCTTCCTCACTTGTAAATATCTATGCACCCAACATAGGAGCACCTAAATAAAGCAATTATTAACAGACATAAAAGGAAAAATAGACAGAAACACGATAATAGTAGGACACTTTAACATTCCACTTACACCAAAGGATAGATCACCCAAAGAGAAGATCAAAAAGAAACATTGGCCTTAAACAACACATTAGACCAAATGGACGTAGTACATATATATAGAACATTCCATCCAAGAACTACAGGATACACATTCTTTTCAAATGCACATAGAACACTCTCCAGGATTAATCACATATTAGGGCACAAAACAAGTCTCAATAAATTAGGAAGACTGAAATAATACCAAGCATCTTTTCTGACCACAAAGGTATGAAACTAGAAATCAATACAGGAAGAATGTCAGAAAAGCCACAAATATGTGGAGATTAAACAAAATGCTTCAGAACAACAATTGGTTCAATGAAGAAATCAAAGGAGAAATCAAATAATACCTGAAGACATGCCAAAATTTATGGGATACAGCAACAGTGATTCTATGAGGCAAGATTATAGCAATTCAGGCCTACCCCAACAAACAAGAAAAATCTCAAACAATCTAACAGCATACCTAAAGGAACTGGAAAAAGAAGAACAAAGCCCAAACTCAGTAGAAGGAAGGAAATAATAAAAATCAGCACAGAAATAAATAAAATAGAGACTTAAAAAACAACAGAAAAAAATCAATGACACTAAGAGATGTTTCCTTGAAAAGATAAACAAAACTCATAAACCTTTAGCTAGACTCACCAAGAAAAAAACAGAGAAGGCTCAAATAAATACGAGCAGAAACAAAAGAGGAGAAATTACAACAGACACCTCAGAAATATAAAGATTATAAGAGAATACTACAAAAAGTTGTACGGCAACAAATTGGATAATCTAGAAAAAATGGATAAATTCTTAGAATCATACAAGCTTCCAAAGCTGAATCAAGAAGAGAGTATTTGAATAGATCAATCACCAGTAAGGAGATCAAAACAGTAATCAAAAACCTCCCAAACAATAAAGGTCTAGGAACAGATGGCTTCCCTGGTGAATTCTACCAAAGAAGACTTAATACCTATCCCTCTCAAACTCTCAGAAAAAACTGAAGAGGAGGGGAGCCTTCCCATTCATTCTAGGAAGCCAACATTACCCTGATACCAAACCAGACAAGACAACACAAAAAAAGAAAATTAGAGGTCAATATCACTGATGAACACTGATGTAAAAATCCTCAACAAAATACTAGCAAATCGAACACAACAATACATTAAAAAGAGCCCACACCATCATCAGGTGGGATTCATTCCAGGGATGCAGGGATGGTTCAACATCCACAAATCAATCAGCTTGAAACACCACACTAACAAAATGAAGAATAAAAATCACATGATCATCTCAATAGATGCAGAGAAAGCATGTGACAAGACAGAGCATCCATTTATGACAAAATTTCTGAAGAAAATGGGTATAGAAGGAAAGTATTTCAACATAACAAAGGCTATATATGACAAACCCACAGCTAATATTCTTAATGGAGAAAAACTGCGAGCTGTCCCTCTAAGAACAGGAACCAGACAAGGATGCCCACTGTCACCACTCTTATTTAACATAGTGTTGGAAATCCTAGCCAGAGCAGTCAAGAAAGAAATAGAACAAAGAATCTTAAAACTTATATGGAACAAAAAAAGACCCTGAATAGCTAAAGCAACCCTGAGAAGAAAAAACAAAGCTGGAGGCCTCACAATCCCTGATTCCAAAATATACTACAAAGCTATAGTAACCAAAACAGCCTGGTACTGGCATAAAACAGACACACAGATCAAGGGAACAGAACTGAGAGCCCAGAAATAAACCCACACATTTATGGACGCTTAATTTTCAACAAGGGAGCCAAAAGCATATGATGGAGAAAGGAGAGTCTCTTCAATAAATGGTGTTGGGAAAACTGGACAGCCACATGCAAAAGAATGAAAGTAGACCATTATCTTACACCATGCACAAAAATCAACTCAAAATGGATTAAAAACTTGAATGTAAGACCTGAAACCATGAAACTCCTAGAGGAAAACTTAGGCAGTACGCGCTTTGATATCAGTCTTAGCAGCATATTTTCAAGTACCATGTCTGACTGGGGAAGGGAAACAACAGAAAAAAATTAATAAATGGGACTAGAAAAAGCCTCCGGTCAGCAAGGAAACCACCAACACAAAAAGACAACTTAACAATTGGGAGAAGATATCTGCAAACTGTACATCAGATAATGATTAACATCCAAAATATATAAAGAACTCATACATCTCAACAACAACAAAAAAACTAACAACCCAATTAAAAAATGGGCAACAGATCTGAACAGACATTTCTCCAAAGACAACATTACAGACAGCCAACAGGCACATGAAAGATGTTCAACATCACTAATTATCAGGGAAATGCAAATCAGAACTACTATGAGGGGCCACCCCGGTGGTGCAGCAGTTAAATTCACACACTCTGCTTCAGCAGCTGGGGGTGTGCCGGTTTGGATCCCACGGGCAGACTTTCACATCACTTGTCAAGCCATGCTGTGGCAGGTGTGCCACATATAAAATAGAGGAAGATGGGCACAGATGTTAGCTCTGGACTAATCTTCCTCAAAAAACCAAAAAACACTACAATGAGATATCACCTCACTCCCATCAGAATGGTTATAATTAACAAGAAAGGAAATAAGTGTTGGAGAGGATGTAGAGAGAAAGGAACCCTCATACAGTGCTGATGAGAGTGCAAACTGGTGCAGCTACTATGGAAAACAGTATGGAGATTCCTCAAAGAAAAGAACACAACTACCATATGATCCAGCTATTCTGCTGCTAGGTATTTATCCAAAGAACATGAAAACACGAATGTGTAAACATCCATGCACCCCTATGTTCAGTGCAGCATTATTCACAATAGCAAGACTTGGAAGCAACCTAGGTGCCCATCAAGGGACGAATGGATAAAGAAGATGTGGTACATATACACAATGGAATACTACTCAGACATAAGAAGTGATGAAATCCGGACATTTGTGACAACATGGATGGACCTTGAGGGTATTGTGCCAACTGAAGTAAGTCAGAGGGAGAAAGTCAAATACTGTATGATCTCACTCATAAATAGAAGACAAAAACAACAACA